GACGCCGCAATTAATGGCACCATAAACCCCATCAACCTTGTTGCAGATGATGACGTCTTCCACCATAAACACACCCTTTTCTTACACCCTTCCATAACTGCTCCCTTCAATATTTCTCAATATCTGGTATTCATTAATTTTCCAGCACCTCTTTGGTTTTATCACTCTCTAAGAGTCTAAATTTTTGTTCTTGAATATGTGTGCGTTGGAAAAAGGGAGGAATAAAGGACTGTTGCACCGCGCCAACTCGCCAAGCGTCTACTGGTTTTGGGTATTCGAGTTTTTCTTCATGCAAAAGTGAAATCTTTTTTTTCCGTTTTCAGTTCTACCCTCTTTCCTAATCAACCCAACTGATATTTTCATAAAATTGATGAGAGATATACTTGAAAAGTTACAGGTTCAATAAAATTTACTATTAATATTAATTTTTTATTTTGATTTAAATTAAAATATAAATATAAATTTTAATACTTATCAAATATAAGCTTAATATCGCCTCTGGTCATGTCATAAATGTTCACATTTTATGTTTCGTACAACTGATTTTACAATTCAACGTGTTAGTCAAATGACGTGAGTACAAAGGATTCTTAGAGCGATTTCCCTTCTCGTCTAATAACTTAAAATGTTAAATGAAATAATACAATTATTGATCGAAGTTCAATCTTTCAGCACATGGTATTAAAAATTCATATCGTGTTATGCAATATAATTTGAACTTTTTCACCGAATGAGCAAATATTAAAAATAAACATCTTGAACTGTATATTCGGAATAAATACAATATCTTGCTTCAATGCCATCAAAATCAACTACAACCTACTATTGTCAACCCATTGGTAGACCATTTGCAATCACTTATTATTTACTTTTTTATAATATATATACAAGAATCTCTATCTACGTGTACAATTTGTGTAGTTTAAAACTTGTTACTAGGGTTCGCTAGTTCGACTAACTAGTGTAGTTGATAGCTTAGGCAAAATACAATCTTGTTATATGTACATCGAGTTTGACACTATTATGAGGTGTCAATTTTTTATACATTAATTTTAACACTACTTTAAATAATTAATGACTCAGATTTTGTTTTAACAAGAATTCTTTACCTTGGATGTGGAAAGAGATAAGGAAGTATGTAAATAATTAATTAAATCTAAAATCCCTTTCTAATTACGTGTCAGCTTAAAAGTAATCCAGATAATCCACTTTCATTCTAATCCAAAGCCTGAAAGAATGGCAAAAAAAGTATCTTTCTACAGTAATTTCTGGAATAAAAACAAAACGTCACATGAATTGGTTTCTTCTGTGTTTATATCTATGTCAGCTTCACTTCCTTTACACGTAATAATTTGAGCCAGTAATATTTGTTACTTATCGAACATAACTAATTAAAATCAAAAGCGTGTCATGACATATTACTTCTAATTTTATTCAATCCAATGTAGCGCCTATTTGGTGACCATTGTTTTAAAAATCCTTTTGATATACGATCACTTTCAACCATAAATTCACACAATATAATATTCAGAGACGTAGCTAGAATTTCAATTTTGTGGGGGCGGGGGGCGGCCGGGGGTTCAGGGGCGGAGCCCCAAAATTTTTTTTTTTTAACTAAGAGGATTGAAAACGACGATTTTGAGTACCAAAATAGACATGTTAGATTAACTGACCAAAAGCAATCATTTTGTCGATACAAAAATAATATGTTCATATATGTGTCTAATGCTATACAAATTAAAAATATGAACGTTAGATGCACATCAAAAAGAAAAAGTAAACTGCATATCTATATAACAGATGGTAGAGATGGCTTGGAGATCTGAAATTGATCTTTCCTTGTCCTCATCACTTCAAATTCGCCAATAAGAGAATCTAATGGAAAAGTATTAACAATCTCCTTATCTATATACACAAGCACGATACTGGACAAAAAATCATCTTCTATCCTATTACGTAACATTGTCTTAATGACACTCATAGCTGAAAATGCATGTTCTGTAGTTCATTTCTTGAAATATGAATCAATCTTCTTCATGATGTAAATATTCCCAGTAATTCAAATTAATTTCAATACCCACTACTCACAATATAATTCAAATCAGTACTGAAATTCAATGTTCAATTCAATTGCCTGTCGCGCAGAGAAAAAATTTGAGGAAGAATGAGGGGTGTCTGTAGTCGGGATTACATTTTGTGGGATGTGGCCTGTGGGTATGCTTTTGGGTAATTGATTCATAAATGGATTATTTGCTTTTGGATTGGATTTGGACTATTTATTTATTTAAGTAACTATTGGATCTTTTGTTTAGGTCTAAGATTTTTTTATGGTTGAATTTTAAAGTGTAAGTTATAATAGTTATTGGGTCAATAATGGAAAAAAAAAATTTCAAAATTTTGTGGGGGCGAAATAGAAAAATACATTACAAATTAATTAGGAATAGTGGACCAGCGGACAATGTGGGGGGGGGGGGGGGCTGGGCTATCTCCGTCTCTAGTTGGATGGATCTTGCCAATTAGCGTGTCCTAAGAATTAGTCATATCTTTTGTTGGATTATGTTATGAAAAATGCTATGCATCCCCAGTCTATGTGGATGTAAATGATTGGTCAAATGATAGGTGAAATTAAATGACTTATTTAATTTCACCTATCATTTAATGCCACATTAACGCCACATGGACTGGGGATGCAACCCCAGTGGGGATGAATAGCATTTCTCTTATGTTATGCCTTTTAATGGTTCCGTAGTTATATCTTTTGTCGGATTATATTGTTGCCTTTAATGCTTCCTTTATTTCAGTTATGCTCATTTGAAATGTGCATCCATTACTACTTTACATGGTCGTTGAAGTATGGTTGTTTATGAATGCACATGTCGCCCTCAGAAATTCGGTAATCTAGTTTGTATATTGCTGTTTTCCTCTCGATGTTTGTGAATCTACTAAATATGCTTGCGCATATACGCCTGTAGGTATCCTTCAGTATGTGCGCATTATTACTTACCTATGTATGCATATTTTTATGTAATGTATGATGTCCATTTGGGCTTCATTAATTCCTAAAGTGGCTTTTTAATGTAATAAATTATCTGCATAACTTGCATAAGCATGGTGGTGTGGATTTCTTTATATCTTGATTCAGGGCTTTTGCTAATACAGATCCACTTGTTAATAAATTTGGAATATGTCTAGTCAGTTTGTTCATTTCTGTTTGAACCAGAAGGTCATATATATTTATATAGTAATGAGTGGAGTCTTGAAGTTCTATAAAAATAGAATTATATGCAAAATTATGCATCTTACAATTTTCATGCCTATAAGATTTTATTTTGCAAAAAAAAATAAATATGGTAAATTAATTTGTTGTGCTGATTTTGTTCTATGTTTCTGTTAGCTAGTGTAAAATTGAAATGTTTGTGAAGAATATGCGTGGCTTAGAAGTTTAAATTCAGCCAGTTTAATTTAGGTTAAAGGAAGATCAGTTGTAATTTTTCAGGTAACCTTTTCAAGTCAAGTGAAAAGGCTTTTAGGGTGCCTTTGGAAGCCTCACCCTGCGTAAATGTATAGCGAACTTCACTTTCTTCTTTGAGCTACCCTTATCAGTACTTGCAGAAGGTATTAAATAGTTTTTGATGATAAATTGAACATCAGAATAATAGGATCTCTGAATAAAGAGATGTTGGCATTTAAATTATTAAATTTTTTGACTACGTGATTTTTAGCTTGCACAACTCTTGGATAGAAGATGAAATCATTTTCCGTCTGTCTTTTAGCTTGAATAACTCTTGATTTTCAAATTTTTGGATGATTCGTGGAATACATCGAATAACTCTTAGTTCATCCACATTATTGCTATTGCTGCATCATTCATTTCTAGATTGTATGCGCTGATCCCATGTGCATTATTTGCTTAACTACATTTCTTATCCTGGTGTACTAGGTTTGATCATTTCTAAAATGGAATGTAATAAAGATGACGCTATCAAGTGTAAAGGCATCGCTGAGAAAAAGTTAGAGAAAAAGGACATTGCCGGAGCCAATAAATTTGCTTTAAAGGCTCAAAGTCTATTTCCAAATCTGGAGGGTCTTTCTGCGTTATTGGAGGTCATTAACCTCTATGTTGCCTCTCAGAAGAAAATAAATGGAGAAGTAGACTTGTACGGAATTTTTGGTCTGGATCCCTCTGTCGACGATGACACATTGCGCAAAAAATACAGAAAAATGGCTCTGGTGTTTCACCCTGATGAAAACAAGTCCACTGGGGCTGCTGGAGCATTCTTAATTCTTACTGAAGCCTTTAGTGTCTTGTCAGATAAGGAAAAGAGATCCACGTATAATCTGAAGCTGAACTTAGGAGCTCCGAATCCTCCATTACCAACCGACAGAAACGGTTTCTGTAATTTCACCAGCAGCTCCAGCTCTCAGAATGTGAGGAATAAGGCGACTGATGCCAAGACCCAGCACATGCCAACTCAGTCCAGGACATCAGCTCCTGCCGCCCGTTCACATGTCAGTCCTCCACTCTTTCCCA